CCGCGCCACGAAATCTGCACTTCATCCCCGACACCCGCGCCTGCCACGAAATCAATATTTTAAGGTGAACTCCCCGGTGCAAAATGTTCTCTCTATCTCTCTATCTATCTATCTATCTATCAATCCATTTATCTTTCTATCTTTCTATCTGTCTTTCTGCAGTTCAACATCCACAAAGTACTACACCTGCCACGAAATCTGCACTCCAAGGCCCACAAAGTCCTGCACCTGCCACCAACTCTACACTTCCACATCAAAAACTCCTGCGCCTGCCACGAAATCTGCACTCCAAGGCCCACAAAGTCCTGCACCTGCCACCAACTCTGCACTTCCACATCCACAAAGTCCTGCACCTGCCACGAAATCTGCACTTCAAGGTCCACAAAGTCCTGCGCCTGCCACCAAATCTGCACTCCAAGGGCCACAAAGTACTACACCTGCCACGAAGTCTGCATTTCAAGGTCCACAAAAAGTCCTGCGCCTGCCACGAAATCTGCACTCCAAGGCCCAGAAAGTCCTGCGCCTGCCACTGGCCACCAACTCTGCACTTCAACATCCACAAAGTCGTGCACCTGCCACGAAATGTGCATTGCAAGGTCCACAAAGTACTGCACCTGCCACGAAACACTATGACTACCACTACGATACTGCTGCCATTATAGTACTGTTGCTACTCTTACTGCTACTGCAATTTGGAATATATCTTTTTGAGTCAAGTTATTTTAGTGATGCGTGCATAATATGTTTTATTGATACGTTAAATATTTTTTTGGTTGATCTCTCAACCCTTCAAGCGCAGCTCATCTCAAGCTGCGCTTGAACACGGCACGCGGATCCGATCTTCCCTCTGTCCCGACCACCTTCAAACCCAGCAATGACCCAGAAGACTACCCAGAAGCTTTGAATACACCTGGAACAAAAGAAACAGAAGGATTTCCCACCCATACACCAGTTACGGGTGCTCAGTGTGGCTCTTGCAAACGGCGCTCGCGCGCTCCATGACTTGATCCTGATCTCAACACAAGGGAGCTGAAGAAGGAAGCGCAAGTTATCTCCTAGCAGGAGCTTGTCCCAAAACAAGGGAGCTCCCTATGTCGTTGTCATTTGGTCTTCCTATACCTGGTTCTTGCTTTCGTCCCTCCTTTGTGAAACGCGCTTGCCTAGCAGTTGACAGCAGCTGGTGTCTGTCTCGGATGCATAGCTCCTCCGCCTCTCCAGCGGTGCGGTTTTGTTGAAGTCGCAGCCGCGTGTGCAATCGACCTGCAGATCGGATCGGTGGAGGAAAGCCCACCGTTTCGCTCTCTCACGGTTTTCAGCCCACCGTTGAGCAACCCGAAGAAAAACCCAAGTTACACAAAGAGACCTCGCATTTTCTCCCAAGACGTTCACCCCAAAAAAAATGAAAGCAAATGAAAGCAACAGCAATTCTGTGGCTTTCTTCATGCAATTCGGACATTTACAGTACCTTGTTGGAAACAAAAAAGAAACAAGAATACGACTCCCGGTGGCGCGCGTGGCGCTGATCCCTTCCGTGTCCCTTCCGTGTCCCTTCCGTGTCCCTCCCCGGCCTTCCGCGCCGAAGCAACGGGTCGCGACGCCGAGGCCGAGGCTTCGGCTTCGCTGGTGCGAAAGGCTCGGTGTGCAACGCAGGCGCATGGCGAAAGGTCAAGGACTGGATTTGCGCAGAGAACATGCAAACATGCGAAGAAGGCGGAAAAAGCTTTCTGCGGATGTGCCCGGTTCTTTTGGAGCGGTTGGTTTCTGGGAGATCTCCCCAAAGCAAGAGAAAGATACAAGTCTATTGTCTATATATGCATGTCTATACAGCTAGCTATTTGATAGATGGTTCAATACAGAAACAAACATTAGGTGGGGGGTCCTCCTAGTCTCACACAAGCCGATTCCGTTGGAACACCGGTGCAACTGCATCAAGGTATTCACTCCTTGGTTGAGACGAGCCTTGGTGGCTACCCTTTCTGCGAACGGATCTGGAATGATCTGGACATCCTGCAGGCCACCTTTGGGCCGAAGAACAAGCGCTGCGGCGAGTGGTGGTGCTCTGGTAGGCATCTAGCACACCCCACAAACCGTTTCCCCGCCTGGCGCCAGGTGAAACCATCACGCCACGAGCTCGTCTTTCTTTCGGGGGCCACGCGATCCCAATGTGCCACGCGATCCGATCTACAAAAGGCCTTTGTCGTCGGAGTCCGGAAAAGGTCGAGCCAAACTAGCAAGCCTACTTTAGCCATTGCAGTCTGAAACACAGTGCTCAGAACTTGAGAGACTTCTTTCATCTTCTTTCTCAACTAGTTGGGCTCTGAATCTATTTTACGAAACACCTTCCATGCATGTTGTGAAAGCCTCGCCAGGGCAGAAAACCGAAAACCTCGGCAGGGCCTGGGCATCTCATTCGGACATGCAACACATCAGTTGCTCTATTTATTTGCGCCTCCATAGGCCACACATCCATCTATTCGCTGCTGTCCCAGGGCCTCCGCCCGAACATCCGCCCGAACCCTTTGCTCGCTCATGTCGTCCGTAAAATTCAGCATGGTGACGGCGCGAACGGTGGTTCCGCCAGCGGTACAGGGTTGGGCTGGTCTGCGCTCTTCAAAAGATGTAACTCACTTGTTGAGAATCGAAGTGGCGCAGACTTCAAGGCCTCACAGCGTTTTCTCGCCGTCTTCAACCCCCTACCACATGCCCTTCGTTCGTCGTCCAAAAGTAGGTGGAGCAGGTCGCAGCAGGTGGAGCACTTTGCATTCCACTGCCGACTGCTTTGGGTGCTCGAACGGCCGCTAGAAGGGATGGTCCAAGCAGGTCCCGCAAACATCTGCGATTCTGCGAAGCTTTTGTTCCAAAACAGGCACTTGTTTCTCCGAGTTTCACCTGCGAAACCTTCAGGATTGGACGGATGTTAGCCATCCCTCATATGGCCCGACGTGTGGCCACGTGCCACTGCAGGCTTTGGGGGAGTTCCTTTCATCTGGACGTTGGCTTACGTATAGTCTTAAGTCCAGACTGAACTAGAAACTGTGTTTTTCTCCCTTAGCCTCAAGCAAAAGGTCCCGCAACGGCAAGACGTTTTGGTGGCACAGCCCCTGTGCGGCTGTGTAGTGCTTCCTGGTGCTTGTGTGCACCTGGCATGAATTCATCAGGGCATTTCGCCTGGTCGGTGAAAAGGCCCGTCCTGAGCGGAAGTTCCACCGGTTTTGTGTCTCGTCTACCCGCCCTGTAAGCATCCACGACCTGAAGGGCCCCAACGTTTCAGATGTGCTGGCGCTTGGGATTCAGCCATGTACAAGAAGTTCAGCCATCTTTTTGGGGGGCATAGAAGGAGCAATCAAGTACATTCACGCCATGAGCATTACAAAATTGAACCTTGACCCCATCTCGCTTGGACATCTTGCTGGACTGCAGGGGAAATTGAAGCACTCGAGACATCCAAAGACTCTCTTGTTCGGGACAACAGAAGCGGTACAACCCATGTAAAAGCTACTAGTAACAAGGGCATCGCTACTAGTAACAAGGGCATTACGACTAGTAGCAAGCAGCTACGAACGTCACAAGGGTATCGCTACGTGTGTCTCCATTGCTTTGATTCTCCTCCAAAGGCCCAACCGTCCATCACCGTCCATCGCCCGGTGCCATCGGTCCAACCTCGTTGGAACGACCCGTGGCTTCGTGTCCAGCGCCCCGGGACCGGGAAACCGGCGGAACCGCGGTGTGCGGTGCTTCCGCGGTGGTGAGAGTTCACCCCGCCCCCCCCGCCGGCCCCCTCACCTCCATCCTCACCTCGATGGGAAGCAGGTGATTCAGTCCACTAGAGTCCACCTGGACTGAGGCGTTGGACGTCTGACACCTCTTCGGCTGAGACATGTAGGTTGAGACAGGTGAAGTGACTTTATAGGACCCGTCACCTGGGAGACCGGGATATCTATAGGGTCCTTCAACCTCTGTTTTTGGTAAACTGGGACCCGAACTAGTGGTACATACATGATAGGCTTTGAGGCTGTTCAACCTCTCTTTTCGAAGGTTCAAAGGTAATTGAAAAAACGCCAGCACAGGTGGCACAGGTCGATGCAAGGAAGAAGCCACAGGTCCTCGAAAAGGACGGGATCCAGGACTGAGTCGAAGGAATGAGCTCTGGATCATGAAGCTCCAGCATCACGGAGTTTCGGGCCTTTCTTGGATGGAAGAGTCACGGGTGGGTGGCAAACGGTCACGTAAAGAAGAGTCCGTGGTGCTACAGGATCTGAACATCTGTGAAGATGATCATGGTCAGCCCAAGGCTCGAACACGTCAAGAACACCGTCTCCAGTGGTCCAGGGCTGATGAAAACAGGTCATGTTCCCATCGATGTTCCAATCCTCAGAGAATCTGAAGATGAAAAAACAAAATCCTATGACAGGGAGCTTCGTGGTTGACCCATCCATGGACCATCAAGCGTTTTGTTCTCAGAGTCGGTGATCATCCGCCCACGGCCCCACGACATGCATGACATTCCGGCACCTAAACAAGACCTCAAATAAATAGACTTCATAAAGATTCGGTCTCCCATGTCAACATCGTCAACATCAACATCCAATACAGGACTTCTGCAGGGAGACTCGGTCAGAGGCAAAGCCTTCCGATCCACTGAAAAGCCCGCCAGTTCAACAACACGAATCATGACAGGGAGACTCTTCCTCGATTTCAGAGCGCGGCCTCAAACCGGCGAGCTCTGAATGGAGTGGAACCTACTAGTATGTTTTCTTGGATTTGTTGGAAGGCATTAACCTCATCACATGGTCGTCGTCTCTTTAGTACCGGCATGTACCGGCCATTCTGCAGTCAGCTGAGGAACTGGAAAGATAACAAGGAGTGAAAGGATTCATTGAAGTACGCACACCCTGTCCAAGAAAAGAGGGTTGTCGCAAAAGTGTTCCACGCTTTGGACAAAAATCCCCTGATGATCAGAAGAATCACACGGCACGGCTCGATAAAAGAAATGATGGCATCCTTGACCGGCACGGTGTATTCTAAACTATTTTAATGGGGAGGTCTCCAACGGGCGAGGGTTCAAGAAAACAAAAATGAATCAAAAACTAATATATTACAGGGGATCAAGAAAAAAAACAAAAATGAATCCATTCGAAGCAGTGATAAAAAATATCGCAACAAAAAAACAAACAGGAAATCAACCTATATTTAAATACAAAACTCTTACAAAGCCACCGAAAGCCAAAGCTACCAAAAGCCAAAGTCCACAGCCACCAAAAATCGTGTCTAGAAAGCTATACCCTTTCTACGATCAAAAATTAAAAGCGGCAGGGGGCGCGGGGGAGGGCGCAGCGCCACCCCGGCAATGTAACTTGGTATGACCAAAAAACAGATATCATGGAGTTTCCCCAATGAATCTTCCTTTGATAACTGCAATGGTCTCTGCGCTGGGCATCTGGGAAAAGTTTTGCAACATCGCATTTCAATTTCACAGTGGAAACCACAATGGTCAGGCTCTGGCCCTCTCATTTGTCCAAAAAGCCACCGAAAGCCAACCTTCCTTCCTGCCCTCCTTCCTTCCTGCCCTCCTTCCTTCCTTCGTTCCTTCCTTAGTTCCTTCCTTCCTTCGTTCCTTTCTTCCTTCCTTTTCTTCCTTTCTTTATTTATGTCTATGCTTTTTTGTTGCTGCATTTTCTTGTTATTGATGCTTTGTTGTTTGTTTGATGCGGTTCCCGTCTCCAACCCATGGGTGGTCCGTGTCCCGAACCATCCAGAGGGCCGTTGTCTGGGGTGGTCTCCCTCATGCCGACATCTCTGACACCGCAGGTTTGGACGGAAAGTTGCTGAAGCTGATTCAGTAGCATTTGGGCCGCTTCACGACCCGTCCGTGAAGGTCCCAAAACACAGAAGGTGGATGGAAGAAAAGTGCGTTCAGATGTTTCAGCAGGGTCTGATCAGCAGGTCCCCTTCTCTTGAAAGGCGATGATCCATGTTTGATCAGGTCCCATGCGCAACCTCCCTCCGACCGGTCCCAAGTCGGTCGAAGGATGAGTGGCACCGAGTTCGGGGATCGCACCCAATATGAGCTAGGCAGACTCCTTGAAGCGTGTGAACATGGCTCACCCTGGGCCACCCTGGGGATGTCCTAGACCGGAGAAATTCACACACCCATGGCTAAGGCTTCGGAACAACTCCCATCAACTCCCCACATCCCCAAAACGCCGGGACGTGACGAAACGGCCTGGAGACATCCAGGAACTGGGAAGATGCCACCTCCTGCGCCGGTTCGGAGCGGTTTGGATGGGTTTGGAGACTCCGGAAGCACCCAAAAGGACCGCCACAGAACCGCCACACAAAACAGAACGCAGGTGCTGGAAGATTGGCGGTGGAGTTTCGCACCAGAAGCCAGACTTGCAGTCAAGCAATTCCTCACTTGAGAATGGGGAGTGAAGATTATACAAGATTTAGAATGCCAGCTTGTTTTGTAGGGCTCAACAAATTTGCAATTGAATGCCTAGATTTCCACCTTCACAGAGGGTTGGGAGAACCAATAGCGGTCATTCCGAAGGTGGACACCCCAGATCCTCCAGTGGCAGCTTCGAAAAGAACTCCAGATCCTCCCCAGTCATCCCCACCACCTTGAGGCGTTGTGTCGAAAGGTGCCTCCTCCTTTCCTTCTTCCTAGTAGCTTCTTGTTAACTAGCGATGACCTCCAACCTAATAAGCAGCTTGGCCTCCAACCGAATCATTCACGCCGCGCCCACAGACTGCCTCCGTCTCCGCTCCGCGAAAGCCGCCTCCGTCTCGGAACACGTGGTGGACGTCTCCGTGCCGCAACTGTTGAAGTCAGCGAACACCCACCTGGGCGGACCGGAGTAAGCGCCGGACCGCGCGGGCGGTAAGCGCGTGGGTGGATCATCCACGGTTCCGGGAAGGTGGAAGAGACGCGGATGGCCCAGTTGGGGGGAGTGGAGGCCTGGTGTGGCTTGGTGCTGAAACGGCGAGGACAGCGGAGAGAGCTGGAGAGAAGGCGTTTGTTCCCCAAAGACATGGGTGACGGTGATGTTTGGGAGTCCAAGCATGTCACAGTTCTTGGAAGGCCATGTTCCTGTGCCAGGGTGGGTGCTGTGTTCGTTCTCAGGATGTGGGGTTATCCCAGATGCGAGGAATTTCACCCGCAAAGGCGAAGGAATCCAAATACATTCGTCAGCCCCGATGGTACACACCCCGCGTTGCGACCCAAAAAGAACCAAGCTGCTGCTTGCGATCGTTTGCAAACTCCGCTTCAAACGCCTCACGCGAACGTCGCGTCCGTACGGCTTACAGCTCTCGCAGTCCCAGAGGTGAGGAAATCCGATGGTCAGCCCGTACCTGAAAGCAACAGCGGGGTCCTCACCAGGAAGGAAGGAAGGAAGGAAGGAAGGCCTAGAAAGGGAAAGGCCTGTTCTTCCGGCCTGTTCTTCCTTCCTTTCATTCCAAAATCCTCAACTTGCTGTTTTTAGGATTTTGAAGGCCTCAGTATAGCGCCCGAACAAACCACGGAATTCCTCTCCACGGTTCCGCATGTGCATCGAAGGCCCGATGGTCTGCGCGGGCCGTTTGCAGCGACCGCCAACATGGCCCGTGGCCCATCCTGAAGCTCTGCATAATGCTCGTCGGCCTGGGGCAACCGACGGCGAACCACACCACCTGTGGGTGCATGGCCCCGTCCCTCTCAAGGTGCAGACCCCTCTGATTCATGCAGAAACTCATCAGGTAAGTGATTGACATCAAGGATAGTCTCTTGAAGAGCTACTGATCCACCATCATGTTGACATCACAATATTTACTATTTGATTGGTTCATGGGCTCGAGCTGGCACGTTGGCCGGTCGACGTGTGAATCCGGACACGGCAGATCTCTCAAACAGAAATGTTAAATAAAAAGACTATATTTATTAATAATAAAATAAGATAATGCTTTTAGAACAAAAACGGTAGAACCATCCATCTACAAATGAATCAATCGAACCTCCTGCACATATCATCCACACGGTCTAAATCCAGGCAAAACTAATCCAGATGTGAGTTCCATACCTGGATTTCTTTCTTAAGGCATCGCGGCATCCCAACGACAGGTGCACCATCCGCTCACGACAGGTGGCCTGTCCGTCTGGCAGCGATCCGGAAGCAAACAAGCCTCCAAGCCAGTTATAGTGGATTGAGAGTAGATAGCACAAATGTCCAAGTTTGGTGTTTTATAGTGGTTTATAATATGGATATGTAGCTCAAATAGGGAGACTTGTTTAGAATACACACCCCTATGGAACTTCCGGTCTTTTCGACCTCTTGGGATCGAAAAGAATGTATATAACTTACTCGATCTGAATGGCATCCAACCAGATCGGAACATCCAACCAGATCGGAAGCACCGAAGCCAGACCTACCCAGGAGCGTGCGCAGACCCCACCCCTCTTTTTGGAAGCTGTGCAGCTGAAGCTGAAGCTGGCAGCTTTCCTGGGACATATGGGCCTCCGGACCACTTTGAGGTAGTGGTCCAGCATTTTCTGGTCACCTCCGGCCTGCGGCGCCGCCGCCGAATCCAGAGGGCTTGTACGAGCCCAGAAAACGAGAGACGACCCCAACACGACCCCCGCCAGCTTCGGAGGTCCGCGTCGCCCCGGCCGAGCGAGACGGTTGGCGTGGCCTCCACTCGACCCAGCAGCGCAATGATCTGCCGCCGCTTGCAGCGAAGCACCTGCGACACACTGAGAAGCACCGAGACACCGGGGGCCGATGAGTATGGGGTCACACCTGGGTGTGGTGCTGCATGTTCACCGATATAGTACAGTAATGCATTGCACCAGTGTGTCTTCATTTGATGATTATGGTGTGATACACCTATGGGTGGCAACGATGTTCCTCTACCAAACGCAGTAGAGATGAGTGCTTTTGGTCATACGGAGTCATCTACCTCGTGCACCACTCAAACGACCCTCAGTCGTGGCTGGACCAGGCTGCCTGCACAAGCCTCCACCGGAGTTCATCTCCCATGTTGATCATCACTATGGTCACTCTGAACACACGCTCATCTCATGTTCAGATTTGCCCTGCCCACCCCACCAGATGATGCGCCCGGACCCCTCCAGGCCTCTTCTGGCACGACATCTAACTTGGGAGCTGTTCTGACATCATAGGTATCCAGCTCTGGATTGTAACCTCAGTCATGGCTGTGGCTCCAAGAATGTCGCCGATGCTGGAGCGCTATCCCGGGCTTGTTGGCCATCCGTCCGCGCTCGCGTCGACCCTTTTGCTGCCATCGGTCTTCATCTGGACCTACAATGCTCCCCCGCGCGCTTCACAATCATCTTGGCAGAGCTGAAAACAGGGAGAGGATCGGTCCCACCGCAGGACTCCCACAGCCGCAAGATCCACGGCCGCAGGGACTCGCCGCAGGTCGGTAAGTACTCCCGTCGGATGAGGATCGACCGACGTGGTTCACTTTGAAAATCTGTGATGTCGCAGTCCAGTCGGCACAAGATGGAAACGTTGGTGATGTCGCGATGTGATTTTTTTTTCAACTTCAGAATCGACCCTTTTCTCTGGAAGCTTGAACAATTGGAAGCCCCAAGGTTGAAACATCGCCTCACCCACTGAAAAACAAAGCATCTCAGCCAGGACCAGTAAAGAAGTGTTGAATCTCCAGTCACGGAGGCTACGCTCATGGACTTCAATCAAGCCTTCAAGTGTGATCCCATGTTTGTTGGGGCAAAAATTGGGGCAAAAACCTTTGCGGAAGTATCACCACAACAAAAAAAGAAGAAAAAAGATCCCCCACATTGGAGAAGGTGATGTTCGGTGGGTTCTTGACCTGGCTTGATCCGTGTTTTTGGGCCTTCTCGAGTGGTCACAGTCAGACTGCTTACTTCTGGACTGCTCAACGTGTCCAGCTTCGCAGGCCTTGCATGGTTCAGGAGCGCTTGCCAGCATCTGAAAGAGCACATAAAAAACATTTGGAAGGCTAGGGTAGCAGAATGCAAAGATATATGAATGTAATATGTCTATAAAATAACAAGACTGTATTATTACATAAATACGATGCAGCTAACATGTAGGCATTCAAGCTCCCGCATGAACCAGCTCTAGTTCTCCCCCGCGCGATCCGGGAGAGCAAGGCTGCGATTGAGTGATGTTCGGTCGTGGCGGAGGGCGTGCAAACAACACCAGTGCACAAGATGACACAATATTCCATCATATCAAAATGCATATATAAGTGAAAGAAAATGAAAGAAGCATTGAGATACACTGGTTTCGGAGATCACAATTTCTGAGAACTCTTTTGGGACACTCTTTTCTTAGGTGTCTTCCGTCTTTCCTCGCCATGGAGGGGTCAGGGACATGTTACGCCCCTGCTCCCGCTTCGTCGCCACGACCACATCACCGGAGTCTTTCAGCGAAGTCGCTCTGTGCGCTGTGCGATTTCTGCGTCGATCTTCGCGGTCACCGGGCGCCCTCCCGAGACCCGCGAGACTCGTCTGCTCGGCGCCGGCGGAACTGTGGCCGAACAAAAGGCCGTGGGTCATGGCAGACCGACCGGTTGACCTACCTGGTGGACCTACCTGGTTGACCTACATGGGAACTTGCAGGTGCTGAAGTGGAACGTTTCTGGCAAAGCTCGGCTGCCGAAGGCGAAGGTTGCGAACGTCTGCGGACGGTTCCTCTTAAGAAACCACCGCAAACGCGTCGCGCGGTGTCTTCGTGTTCCTAAGGTGTCTTCTTCTGAAAACGTCTCCGTAACGTCTCCGGAATGGTGAGGATGCATACATTCGAAATACCTCATGTCAAGTAGAACCATGCGACCATGTCATAACCATGCCCATACATCACTGCTTATGGCAACAACTTCGACGGTCCGTCACCTACTTGCTGCACCAGAACTTCACCATCCACGGGCGATGCAAAATGTCACCACCTTCTGCAGTAACTGTTGTAAACTGGCACCTGGAGGAAAGGCGGAGGGCATATTTTGGAATCGAAGCTGGTGTGGCTAGCAATCGAAAACAACTGGCGCATCTTGTTTAGCGACCGTATGATGCTGCAAAAGCACCAAAAAAGAAAATCCATGTTGAAATGGGTACCATTGATTTCTTGTTGTTTGATCCATCCTTTCACGAAAGCACCAGATCAGGTTCATTACCCAAACATCCTTTCGCATCCATCCGCATTTCGGTGCCGTGTGCCGGTTGAGGTGACCAACCCGATTTTCACCAGCCAACGAAAGAACAAACGAAAAAAGCACCAGCCAGCAACTAACTGAAAAAACAGCAGAAGCACCTGAAACCCAAAAAAAGGTGTATAATTCATTCAAAAAACATCAAGGGAAGTGGGGAGGCAAGTCAGGAGGCAAGGCAAACAAAAAGCCCATCACTCAGTCGGACCGAGACAAGTCAGGAGACAAGGTACCCCTATAGCCTTCAGCTCTGGGGAAAAGCATGAATCCCTTCGCAGAACCCTGCGACGTCTTTCTTGATGGTCTTTCTTTCTTCTTGGGGCCCTCCGCTGCTCCAGGTGTGACCTCCACTCCAGCTGCGAAGCCGTCTTTCCACGGGGTCGCCACAGGCCCGTTTGCGCCCTCCGCCCGACGCGCCGGTCGCGCAACTGCCCCCGCACGGCAGCACAGCGGCGACGCAAATCATGACGCGCGGACGCGGGCGGGGCACAACTGGAGCAGGATGCCACCGAGGCCGCGACAGAGTCGCATCAAGAGAGGCAGAATCAGTGTCAACCAAGGAGTCAGATGGCATTTGAGAATCAGTCAAGCTTTGTTTAAAGAGTTCCCAAGTTCTAGTCTTGCGGCTGGAGATCCTCAATTCTGAAAATTGAAAGAAAGCTACTCGAAGGGGGAACTGCGAAGGAC